TAGGAACACATAATCGAGACAAATTTACGAGAAATATTATACGACGATCACAGTGGCCCAGCGGTTTATACTGTGAGCGCTGGAAAAATTAACTTTTATAATGTTCTGTGCTGGGTGTTCCGGAAATTCCATTGCTCTGGTACTCGTTTTACACGGAATTCCCTAACGTAAGGCCAGGCAATTAGTGTGATTGTTTGGCAGGTTATTGTTCTTATTAATTATGGCTGCCTCCGCGGAGGTCTCTGCGTGGCAGATGGCGTTACAGCTAAAAAGTCGTTGAAAAACCAAATGCAAAGATACGACGCAAGCATATAGAAAAATTCGTGAGGTCCGCTGGTTTGTTCCGTGGCTTAGTTGGTATAGCGTCTGGCACGGTATGCTAGAAGACGTCGGTTCGAATCCGGCCGGATCGAAGGAATTTTTTCATTATTTACAAAAATATAAGGCTTCTTAAATTTAAAATTAATCTTAAACCGTGATATTACATTCAAATTACCTATACCTGTTTTTTTTTTCCAAAAAATATTTTTCGATTTATTATTGATAGTGTGATATTATCGCAAGTATTTTGTGCCTGTGATATGGTTGCTCTTCTTAGTATCAAACCGGAATAATACTGTCAGAAATAGGCACCCGGGCGGTTACACCGGTAAATTCCAGGAACTTCGGTCCACAGGTATGCTCCACCTATTTTATATTTATTAATATCTTATTTTTCTTCCATTCCTTTGCCACCGCAAGAAACATCTTGATGATAAATAAACTATTGAGAAATTGCATTTTTGTTACTGTACAGACATTTAATCTTAAAATCTAAGACAATTGTGACTGTCATTTGTGAATATTCAGTAGCAACCTCTCGCTAACGACCAAGGAAACCATCAAGATGAAACTCGCTCGTCGAAGAAAGTTCAGAACCCTTGTAAATCTTATGAAGTCCTCAACTCTCACTGGGCCAGCAGGACTCATGCACTGCAGTGGAATGTAAAAACAAAGTCGATGATGATAATAATAATAACGTTAGGTATTGTTGATACAAAGATCGAACAAATACAAAGAGAAATTCCTTCTATCCGCCTAATATGAACTAGCGACTTCGCCACACCGGAGCTACTCAGTCCAGCCAGATCGAAGGAATTTTTGTCATCTCATGTCAATGATAATCATGATTATCAATTGTTACCAAGACGGATAATGTTGCCTATTTCTTTGTTTACTTAGTCGCTTTCTACTTTTCCCGTAGAATTATATTCTATTTGCAATCCAATTCATCCATTCGTAGCGGCAACCAAACAGTGTACGTCGGAGAAGTATTTGGATAAAATTTCAGGCCCTTTTGATCTGCGTACCAGAAACTTGTGTTATTCGGGAAAAAAAATTTTAACTCAAACATAACAGTAAAAAAGATGAACCATAGCGTTTATGTTTTTTCAGTCGTTTTGTAAAGTTTATGTCTGTGCTTTTACACCTTCCACGAAGCGTATTATCATTTCAGACTAAAAATCCGTCCCCGTAAATAACATTGAATTTTTCTCTTTCTCGAGTATCAAACGTAATTATCCGCAAAAATAAAAAAATAAAAATCTCACACTGAAAAAGCCAAGTGGAAAGTGAGGCAAGGGAAGTTTTTTATATTTCATTTGGCTGCGGGGTTGAAGGTAGATTGAAATTAGTCGACGTTCCAACGAGCCAACTAAAGCCGCAGCTCGAGAACGTTTGTCGCTGCCGTTGCCTAACAAAGCTTATTTGTATCTTTACTATTGGTTCTCGAATGCAACTCGTAAAGTACAGTACTTGTACAGCGGTGCTTGCATCTCTTGTGACCATAGAAACAGGTATCTGTCAGGAATGGGACTAAACAATTTAGCTTATTTTGCTGTATTTAATACTAGACAGTTTTGGTATATAAGAATGAACATACCTGCGGGTTTGCAGACAACAATAATTCTATTGGGACAGTATGTTGTAGAATTGGGTATTTGCTACAAAAAACCTTAGAGCGGTTACATCGGCGATTTTTAGGAGCCACGCAAACGCGATGCAGTCGCTACTCGTCTACCTTTACATACGCTCGCGATTTTAACCAGCGATGCAAACACGGTGTAAGCGCGATCGATACAAACGCGCGATTGCATCGCTGCTAAAAGCCGCCCCATGTGAAAAATACGAATTGCCACAACTTAGAAAATACTTAACACGATTCGTTTATGTTATTTTTCTCCCAATTTTTCAGAGCTGCTGCATATTCTAACGGTTTACCAGTTATACTGAAATATCCTGAATTACTACTTTGAATAAATTCTTCTTATCTTCTCATTTAGCATAAATAGACGTAACTTACAATTTTTACGAATCAAATCTCTTTCTTACACATAGTGTAACGCCACTACTACACCACTACTACCTTATTAATCTCTACGTTGAAACTCGATCAAAACTCACTTAAATACCAATATAATAATTGAAACAATGAGTAACACCAGTCGCAAATTGCGTCGCGCATTTGTGCCGAAATGGGAAAACGTTACAGTAAAGTAATACGGTTTTAGTGGCTGAATTATACCGCGGCTGGCTTATGGAGGTGTTCCACAGGGCTCTGTTTTATAACCCCCTTTCATGTGCTTTGATAACATAATGTAACATCGCACTAGTAAGGTACAGCTGTCGAATTATTATTAAGAACAGTTTGAAGTCTCACAAACTCTCTAATTAAATTTTAATTTCAATTGTCGTTAAAGTTACATGACGCTACGTTGTTCTGTACTTATATACCATACAATTCTTGATTTCTTCCCAATTGTTTACTGATATACTAGGTGCTCTTGACCATTGAGGAGCTCTTGTCGGATAAAAAGTTGTAAGAGAGATAAATGTACATTCATCTGTCTACCATTAACTATATATATTTTTAACCGACTTAAAACAAAGGAGATAGGTAAGGTTTCGAACAAATTTTGTTGGTAACCAAATGCCGATGCAGTTGCGACGTTCGATTTTTTATCAAGCTTAAAATGTTCCCTCGTTTTTGCCGTAGCAAAATGCTACGTAGCCTACGCCATGTAGCAACAGCTACGTAACTTTTCCGTGTTCATAAATTACTCGCTCCTTACCTGGATACAAATCATTTCCGTTTATTAATTTTCTTGTCAAAGAGCAGGTAATTGTAAAATTATATCATTCCTTTTTTCCTTCATCTCCTTCATCTGTCACTTCCACACTTCATTAACTATGTCTATCTGTTTTTGTTTAGAAAAGTTTGTATTGTATTAGCTTGTCTTTTATAGCACAGAATTTGTTCCAATTTAAAAGAATTGATAGAATATGAATGGTGCCTTTATAATTAATAACTGCCTCCGTAACCGAACGGTTACCATGCTGAACTGCCACGCAGAGGTCTCAGGTTCGATTCCCGGGCCGGGAGAAATATTTGTATGGCCTACATTTATTTTCCCTCGTGAGTTTGGATATAATTTAAGGTTGTCTATGTGTGTATCCATGGCACCCGTGACACAGGGTTTCCCTAGCGCGGGGCTATGTTGAGTATGTGCGTTATTATATTATAATCAATAAGGTGCAAAAGAAACTTAAAATAATATAATAAACATGAAACCTATGCTTAAATTTAAACACCGTAATTATATTTCTTAACTAATAATTACATTTAATAACCAACTAGTAAATATGACCAATTCCCTTTTTTACATGTCTCATTCTTATATTGTAAGCTCATATATTTGTGATACAATAAATTGGTTCCGTATATATTAGTACTGCCACCTTACCTATTTATGCCGTCAAGTATTAATGTGAGCCTTAATGCGTTCCAGTTTTGAAAAGTAAGGGCACTGGTGAAATGGGACTTGTCAACTTATGTCCCATGGTGACGGGTACAGTAGCAGTGCCCTTCAGATGTTTGCTTTAAAAATTCTAAATGACACTGCAACTGCCACGGACAAGTATGTCTCTTACCGCCAGGCGCATGACTTGTTCGTCCCGTCATTGGTATCATAATAAAATTCTCACAGAGTCCTTATGAAAGCTTTTTATAGAGAATAATTTCTCCGTAATACGTAAGTATGAAGTTCAATTAATATTTAAACTCAATTACCTATTTTAAGTATTTCAAACTTACTTCAAAATATATATCCTAATTTTACATTAACATTTACATTATCTTCAAAAAAATACAATATAAAGATAAAACATAGAGCAAAAAAACAAAAAAAAAAATCGAGTTCTTAGGTTTTCGCGATTGTTACACATAGGAAATGAAACTATTTTTCCGGATTTAAATCGCGTATATTTGTTTTTTCAAACAAATCTTGAAAAAAAATCAGCAGGAAAATTTCGTATCGGTCTTTTGAAGTACCGATTACCTTTTTGGTCTCTCTTTTTTCATTGATAAAATTCTAAGAATACTTTGCAAATAGACTCCGTTCAATAATAACAATTTTCAAGTGAAATTAAGTAGACTTGAGGGGAATTTCCCCGAAATAATATAATGACATTGTAGCGAAATAATGATAATTGGGAAACAACCTTTGGAAATTATCTTCGTTATTCTAGAGGAAAATGTTTTGTTTTTCAAATCCATTTTTACGTTCACGCATACGTGAAATGAATATTTAAAAAATTGTCACGGGAGTTAAGACATACGGCATTTTGCTTAATGTGTCCATATATCCCGCTTCGAGCGGGACAGCCCCGCTTTTAAGATGCGTGCCCCGCTATCCCCCAAATACTTATAAAATGTTCTGCTTTGACATAACATGACACACGTGACACATAAATTTAAAAGTCATGCCAATAGTTACATTCATATTTAAGGGTTAAGTCTGATATACATATATAAAACAAATTTGTTTATCCGAAAAATATATAAAATTAGCTCACCAGACTACGCAATTTTTTTCTGTAATTAGAAAAAATTATATTTTTGCCTCAAATGTACTGTGTTTACGTATAATAAATAATTTACATATGTCGTTTATTTGTTTCAGGAGAGCACACTTAAGAAGCTGCCTGGAAAAATTGAAAGACATGGTTCCGCTAGGACCCGAAGCGTCTCGTCACACCACTTTAGGATTATTAACGAAAGCCAAAAGATTTATAAAGGTAAGTTTCGAAATTTCTTTCTTATTTTTAGACTACTTTTTAGCTTTGTGCATTTATTTGGGTGTTTCAAGAAAAGTTGAAATGGTAAATATGACCCAGGCGTTATAGCAAATAATCTCAACAAAAAAAAAAACATTAGTATACCATAGTAAGAAACCAACTAGCTGTTCTTTACGACTGTTCTTATATTACCCCGTGACGGGAAAAATGAGTCGTGCTCCCGATGGTTAGCAACACGCCTGGACATAGCAGTTGCAGTGCCATCAGAGTTTTAAATCGCAAAGATGATGGAGCATTGCCACTGAGCCCTGAGACATATGTATGTTGACAAGTCCCATAATCCCTGTATGAGTCTCTTTCATACGTTAGAAAGTCCAAACCCGCGAAAACTGACCTTACAGAAACTAGTTTTTGTAAATTATCTTTTTTAACCCATTTCAATAAAAGGAGGTTCTCAATTCGACTGTACGTTTCTTTATTTTTTGTATGATTTTGATGATTCCGATACGATGAGTAGTTCCACTTAAATTTGAAGAAAATATTCCACCTCTAAGGGTGGCAAACTAGGGGATGAATAACTTTTGAGATCGATTTTTTGATTGTTAAATTTTTCTTTGTATTCGTTCAATCTTTGTATCAATAATAATGACTATTTTAGGCCATATTTAAAAGCAACGACATCTTTTTTATTACTTTGTCTAGGCATTCTATCGTAGAAATAGAACAGCAGCAAAAGACTGTCAAGAAGAAAGCAGACGTCTTTTTCACAAAAACAACACTGGCTTGCTTTGGCTAAATACCAAATTTTAATATTTATAATAGGCTTCCGAAACAAAACCCCTTAGTAAGTTTAGCGAGACCTATAAAAATAATTATCAATTTCACCCGTTGAGCCGTAATGGTTCATAAATCGCGAAAGAGGCGAAATTTACAATTTCCGCGGGAGAATGTGCGCGGCAGGGGGCGGTAGGGGCGCGTTTGCATGTCATGATAATATTTGACCTTGATTTTGAATATGTATTTTTAACCGACTTTAACAAAAAGAGGAAGTTCTCAATTAGACTGTAATTACTGTCAAAGATTAAGTTTAACCGATTCAAAGGGGATGATGCCCCTAGGCATGCCTCTTCACGAATATTTCCACCTTTAACTTTTCATCTAAATAATTGCATATTATGGCAGTCAGATTTCTTTTATTTAATTTTTTATGATACCATGTGACTTGACGTACAAGTCGTACATCTGATGATAAGCGACACGCCTGTCCATAACAATTGCAGTGCCACTCAGAGCTTGAAATAAAAGATCTGCCACTACGCCCGTCACCCTAAGACATAAGTTAATATGTTCCACGTGCCTGTAATTGCAGCAGCAATCTTACCCTTAGGTACAAGAGACTAAACGACAATTCGGTTCAAAATGAGTTAATAATAATTAACGCTATAGACCCAGGTCTGGGCACAGGCCTCCACTCACAATTGAGCTGTAGTTTCGACGCGGAACAATGCGGATTGGGAACGTCCCACACATCATTAAATTGTTTTGCAGATGTGTGCAGGTTTCCTCACAATGTATTCCTTCACCGAAAAGCAGTAATAGTAGAGCTCCTTGTGAATGAGTTCGTGGGGTTCGACTATACCTATTTTGAAGGATAAGGGTGCTGAAAGGGTGAAATTACAGGCACCCAAATAGTCCACCTATAAGGGTGGCAAACTAGGAGATGAATCCGGTTTCGCACACTTTCCGGTAACTGAATTCGATGGAGGTCGTTTTTTTAATAAAAAAGTTACGATTATCTTTTTGTCATAACAATGTTATAGACAACCAATTGACATACGCACGCACATACACTTACATACACACTTAACACCACTCATAGGCCATTGACATACATTTAGGTTATAACATAGGTAACCTGAATATAAAATTGTGTTTTTCCTTATGTTAAGTATTGTGTGGTTCACTGTTCACAATTATTCTTTATGTTCAAAAAAAGAAGCCTCAATCGAATCACTGTCTCTTAAAAATCTATACAAAATCAAATGGCTTTGGTTGATCCCGTATAACAGTAAAAGTGTTGAGTAAAAATATATACTGATGAGTTAGTATACGATGTGAAAACGCGATTCCTAAAAATATTCACGAGAGAAAAAAAAACCAACCTTACCTCGACATTTTACAAGAAAACTTCAAAATTTTTCTATATGTACGTTACATTAATCAATGTATTTTTTTATATCAACTGAACTAAATAGAAGACGTATAGTATACATGATGTACATGTTTCAAACGGCTTTATTTCGTTTGTAAAAAAAAAATATTCTAAAACAAAGCCAGTGTCCCTGCCACTCGATCCAAGCAAAATGAACCGTATTAGTACGGGAAAAATTAGGAAGATACAGAATCGCCTAGTTTGAGAGACAGGGTCGTACATTCCTGGCTGACCTGATCCACAATTTAAACAGTGCCATCTTTATTGAAAATGGACTTTTGTACGTGCAAATTATATTTCTGTAATTTTTGTTTTTGTGTAAATAAGTAAATTACGTTATTTACCCAGGATGCTGCGAGAGGCCATTGAAATTAAAAAACATCCTAATTTCAACAGGGAAAATGATTTTTCCGTACCACCAGTTCGGGATCCAGTATTTTCTCTGATGAAAAATCCCAAACAGACATACCATTGCACTGTGGTTTGCATTAATATTAGACATAACTAATTGATGACTTTACCACCTCAGTCAACCGTGACCATGGACCCTATAAAAGGCCCGAAACGTTGGTTTGTTTGAAAAAATAAATATACGCGACTTAAATCCGGAAAAATTTATTAGAATTTGGTCATATATGACTTTAACTGCTTAGCAAAAACTACCTACTAGCTACCGGAAAAAGAAAATATCATTATGAAATCTACATGTTAAAGAAGAGTCACAACCCTTGCGAAACTTCTGGAGTAACCCAAAAATGCCCACCTGAAAAATGACAACCAACCAAGTACTTGATTTCTAACCAGGGATTCCCTGTGGTAAAACTACCAGAGCACTCAGAATAGAATTAATTTAAAAAAGTTATAATTATTATGCTCCGTCCAACCAATTATTTTACTTTTGACAGCTCGAATTCTAATCAATTAGTGATGTCCTAATGCGTTTCCGATTCGATTTTTCATAACACTCGATTTTATTTATGAAGAAGTTTTAATCGTGAGTAAGCGGGTATATAAAACAAGATATTGTCTTATTGGAATCGTCCTGTTTTGTTTGACTATTGGAGTACTCAAGAATTAATAATTAAGGTTACTGAGGGTTCAAGTGATGATTTCCGTTCATATGAAGAAGAGTCCGACGACTCGTTAACAAAAAGAACATGTTATAATTATTTATAATTTCATTTCATTATAATTTGTTAGACATGTACCAAAATTTGTCGACTTGAATAATTTTCGTTGCATAATCTGTCGACTCGACAAATATCGGAGCTGAAGAGCACGCTTCACTATAGTAAAAAAAGCATCCATGTAATATGGCATTTTTTGTCCTATGGTTGCCTCTCAATAATTATGAAATTTCGTGTGCATGCTTATGTCAAAAGTAAAATACATAATTGGACAGAGTATATCTTCGCATATAGATCGAACAAAAAGAAAAAATCCTCGATCCAACTAAAGGCAAACCAGCGACTTCGCCATACCGTAGCCAACGCTCTCCCAACTAAGCTACGGAACGAACCAACAGAGCTTATGATTTTTTTATGTGCTTGTTGCTCTTTGATCTTTGTTTTTTAACAACTATTTTGCTGTAGCGCCATCTGTGATAAGTGAAGAAATTTCACGAAAATAATTGAATATTATGGTAGTAAAACGTCGTTATGATGATGAAATCGATCTGGGACCTCTTTATCTAGCATCCCACAAGTAGCGTTCTAAATTAAGGTATAATTTCACAACGTAACGTTTTTGTAGTTGTTTTGAAATTTAAACACATACTGGTAAACTTTAGTGGTATATTGTACTCAGAATTACTAACCACTTCCTTACGAAAACTTTTAGTAATAAATATGTTTTCCGCATCCTCTTGTAAATTGATGCAGCAGCCGACACAAGATGGTAATAATTAATGAATTTTTACATAACTACGTTACATTTTTAGTGGCTTAGCTTTAGTATCTTAAAGTAAACAAATTACTTCGAAAACTGGCAACCATTTTGTGCCCCGGTGGCCCCCAGGGAAGGAAAAGGGGGTAGAGCGAGGGCTCGCTAATCGGAAAACTTAGTGATTCCGCCGCCTCGTCGGTTCATAATACATCATACTAAGGGGAACCCATCTTGCCGCTGAGTTTATAGTTAAATAGACAAACCCGTGTTTTATGCTTTGCTGGGAAGTGCGAAATTCATTTTCACAGCTTCGTTCTTTCTCTACTACTTCTTTCTGTCATTCTTAACGTCTTCGTTGATTTTGTCAATATTACTACATATATGATTGATACAAAGAAAAATGCCTATTGCATGCACACCTAAATAATGCATATTCACTCTGGCCTTGAAAACGCCAAAGTTATAGGTATCGTTCAGGGAACAAGTCTGCAGGCTGGGAATTCCACTCCATAGCCGTTCGCCATATAAATGTGGAATCGTAACGCTTTGTGCAAATTCTTAGAATATCTACAACATAGAGGTGGAACCTCAGCCTATGTCTGGTCCCCGTATGATGGAAAGGGGAAGGCGGAATGAATTGGTGCTATTCCCTCGCACACTCCGTGATATAATCCTGTAGAATACTGAGAAACAGGCAACTTTCCGGCGGTGTTCAAGGCTTTGTTTGACTAGTTTCACCTCTAATAATTCCGAGATACCTATAACCTCCTAAATCTCAGCAAACCACAATGGGAAAAGAGCTAAACGCCCAAAGTGCGTTAAGATGCACTAAATGAAGGCCTGCTTTATATATTAAAACCCTATGTTCATAAAGAATACAGAGCACTAAATTTGAACACAATAT